ACTAGTTAGCTTTTTAGTTTATCACGAACCATAGACTAAAACTAATTAGATTACCAAACTTAAGAACAACAATAAAGAAGATGTTACGTAACTGAAGACTGAAGAGTATTGAATCCGATTTCACGATGAGACTTAGAGCCAACGATGAAGTGCGTTGCGTGTCTTAGTAGAAACAAAAGTTATTATTTACAGAGCCAACGATGAGACGGCGGTATTTAACTTTTTTTCTTTTTCTTAACAAAACAGGAAAAGGAATATCAATTAATATTTTACAATTGCAATTTACGAAACATAAAATTTCTTTTTAGATTATTTTTTTACTTTAAGGTTTTTTATTTTCAAAATAACACAGTTAGTTTATTTTCTAAAAAATATAACATAAACAATAAAAAAAAAAATCTCTAAAAGGAATTTTTATGTTTCTTAAATAGCAATTGTAAAATATTAATTGAAATTCCTTTTCCAATTTTGTTAAGTTTATATATATGAGTCATTAATACCATGTTTTTGGCCCAACGGATAATATATTTACGAGATTGTTGATCATAGTTTACGAAATCAAAAGCATCTGATCCATCCACAGTTTTCTATTAGACGTAAAAGATCTTCAAGGCCTCTTACAATGCCTACAAATGCATTAAAATAAATTATGGTCATTCCTTATCTCTAAATATATATATTTTGGTTAGAAATTAAGACAAGAGAGAAAAAGAAACAAACCTCAACTAGTTTGGGCTCAGTGCTCAAATAAAGTTAGTGAATGACTCTCTCCTGCTCCCTTTTTAAACACTCATCACACTGCAATATAAAGTTACTGACATTAGTTAATATATATGTATTTACTTTCCTGAAATCGAATTAAAAAGACATATATAGTTGGGGACATGCCTTTAGCAAATAATCAGAACTAGAATACTCCTTCATCCACATTGATGCCTTGGAAGAATAGTAAGATACAGTCGCTTGAAGCATGACTCTTTCAAAATCCTCTTCGTATCTCTCCTTAGTTCCCATCCCATTCTCTACATAGACTTCTAATACATCTTCCACTAGTTCCCTATCAATCTCTTCGCCCTCACGTTCTTTCTGAATCTGGCAAATTAATACAAAGTTCTTTACATATAAATGTTCAAGAATCAGTTTGACTAGAGCTTTTTCATTACATTATACCAATACTTACAAGTGCTAGTATAACTCTTGTGGCCGCTGACTGCATCTCCCGATAAACCTAAAGTACATAATTGCATTGACAGTTAAAAAAAAAAAATACTTTCCAGGCAGAGAAAAGTTAGAAGTTATAGGAATACATATATGCATGACAAACCATGTCGCGAAAACATGTCAAGCCAACTTCACTCAGTGATGGATTGTCTCCTTCCAGATAACCGAAGAAGCCGGTTAACCATTTGACCAGATTTTTATGGTTCTTCCACCTCCTAACAAGCTCTCTTAGCATATCTTCATCATGCTTCTCCCTTAGGGATGGCAACACCTAAACCACACATAAAACAAGTATTAACTGTTTATGTAAGTTAATAGAAATAAAGAAGAATTGATTAATTTTGCTACTCACCGTTTGTATAATATAATCTTCAACCACTTCCCGATACTTATCATAAAGCTGTCGCGAGTAATCGGGTTTCTGGTTGCACATATGGTAGATGGTTCTGTAAATGACATAATAAATCATTGTGGTAAGTAACCGTATACGACTCTAAACATTACATAAGAAGAAGACCTACGTACGTACGTGTAAAGATTCATATATTGCTCAGTGTCAAATACTGGTTCAGGCTCTCCTTCTATAATCCTTATCAGCTTAGCAACACCTTTCTAATGAATATAGGACCATCCTTCCTCAAATGTAATTATATTTGTGGGTCGTGGCACCATCCTTCTAAAATGAATCAAACTCAATAATAAAGCTATAGAAACGATCGAGAAATTAATTTAGAGGCTATTATCAATACTTTACATATATAAGCATTTAAAACTTAAACTACCAAAAGAACAACGAAAATTTGTTACGCATTAATTCATGGCTTCATGCATGGTGATAACGCCAGAAATATATAATCACCAAGAGAGAAAGAAACAATCTTTTGAAAGTAATCTAGAACTGTAAATAAACATAGGAGAAGGCTACGTACCACTAACTCGATCAAAACCATGTACATAAACACAAAAACCTAAGATATCACTTACCTGAAGATTCGGAATAGTATGAGAAATGAGACTTGGGGGCGAAGAAAAAAAAAAGGCCTAGAAGATATCTTATATAATATTGTAAAGTTTCTTCTTTTTTTGGTAGGAATATTGTAAAGTTTCTTTAAGAAGAGCCAATTAACCTTTTAAGATATTTTTCATTAAAAATAATTATATGCATAAAAATCAGAATTAAATATAATAAAATTCAACCTTATTTAAAATATTATCTTAACCATAAAATTAACCATACAAGAAACTCATTAATCTTTTAACTGATAGAAGATTCTTTATGATAAGATTAACAATTGGTAAATTTAAGTTTCTTTTTGGGGTTTATTTTGTCTCATGAACACTATGATAAAAGATATGAGGTTCAATTATACAAAGTAATCATGAAAGTATAAGGTTATTAGTTTAGTTAATATGGATTCCATTAATTTACAAATGATATGTAACAATATTGTGTAAAGTACATTGTTGTGTAGTTTTATTAGCCAAAGCACATTATTTTGAGGCCTTCATAGAATATATTTTTAGTAAATGATGGTAATTATTTTCATAGTTGCCTTCAAATATAGTTGCACCAAGTTACCCCAGTTTTACTAAATCTTGATTTTTTTTTTCTTTTTCGCTGTTAACCTGAAACATAGTTGTACCTAGTTGCATTAGTTGTACTTGTACCCAATCTTGAATATTCGTGTTTTACCGACTAATTCAATATTTTTTATCTACAAATTATCCACAAATACGAGAATCAATTATCTTAAATTCATTTTAAATGGTGGAAGAAAGAAGAAATAAATAAGATTTTTTTCTGCCTGCTTTTGGTCAAGGAAGAAAAGAAGAGGGAGAATAATTCTCATTGGTTACTTTATTTTAATTATATATATGTTTTCTGAAAGAATTTGGATTCTGAATAATATAATAAAAATGGTACAATAGAGTTTTAATATTATTATAGAAAGACAGGGTAGTAAGAATAAGTAGGGAATTTTGTGAATTGAGTTAGTGCAAAAGAGACAATAAAAGATTTTAATCCAATAATTTATCACTTGAGCTTCTCACTTCCTCCATCCTTTTTTAAGATTTCATCAAATGCCTCTTTCACAGCCTACAATGCATTAAGAGACGAAACTATTGTCATTACTATAGAAAAAGTAATAATAAGAAAATCAATAACCATACATGGTGCTTTCAAAAATAAGCATATATATATAAGTACATTTTTTTTTGTCAGTAACTATATATAAAAATATGATTAATGCCAAATATATCAAAACCAACCTCAACTAATTTGGGTTCAGTGCTTGAATGGAGATAGTAAGTGACTCTGTCCCTCTCCTTTTCTAAACACTCCTCACACTGCAATATAAAATTGTTGACGTTTTAGTTTGTTAAAAAAAAAAAAAATTGTTGACGTTAATGATATATTTACTTTCCTGAAATCAAATCAAAATATAGTTGGAGACACACCTTTAGCATGTAATCAAGACAAGAATCCTCCTGGATCCACCTTGACACCTTGCAAGAATAGTAAGATGCAGTATCTTGAAGCAAGAAGCTTTCAAAATCCTCTTCATATTTTTCCAAAGTTCCAATCCCATTCTCCACAAATATATCTAACACGTTTTTCACTAGTTCCCTATCAATATGTTCGCCCTCCCGTTCTTTATGAATCTGGCAAATACAATATGTGTTACATAGAAACAACAGTTAGGCTGAACCAGAGATCTTTTCATTACAAATACCAAATACTTACAAGTGCTAATACAGCTTCTTTGGCAGTGGAGTGCATCTCACGATAAACCTGTGGTCAATAATTGCATGGATGGTTACAAAACAAGTTTGAGGCAGTGAGAAATTAGAACCTATAGGAATTTGCATGACAAACCAGGTCGCGGAAGCATGTCAAACCAACTTCTCTCAGTGTTGGAAGGGCTTGCTGAGGGACAAAGTAACGGTCAAGATAATAGAAGAATCTTTCTAACCATTTAACCATAATCTTATGGTTATTCCACCTCTTAATAAGCTCTTCTAACATATCATTACCATGCTTCTCCCTTAAAGACGGCAACACCTAAACAACATATAAAAGAAATGTTCAACTGCTGGATTAAGTTTATTATTTGCACAATATCCAAGAATCAAGCCAAGACATAAAACTTTGGCACTCACAGTTTGGATAGTATAATCTTCAATTACTTGGCGATACTTTTCATACAGCTGCTGTGAGTAATCGTCTTTCTGGGTGCACATATTGTAGATAGTCCTGTGAATCACATAGACAAATTACTCTTGCAGGTACCCGTACGTATACGTAGATGTTAACATTATATATGACAACCTACGTACTCGTAAAATTTTATATATGTCGCAGATGAAAATGGTGGTTCAGGCTCTCCTTCTATGATTTTTATCAGCTTGGTAATACCTTTCTGCATATAGGACCATCCTTCCTCAAAGTTAAGCATCCTTCTACTAGAATCTGTTTCAAGCAATCTTGAATAATCAAATTCTTTAATAAAGTAATTGACATAGGACCCGATTGGTATGACACTTTTAAGGCTTTAAAAATGTTTAGAGCTTTTTGCTTTTATTTTGTTTTAAGCATCGGAAAAAACTTTGTTTCTACGTTAAAACATGTACAACCAAATTCTGTGCATCTAAAATTTTAAAGTCAAAGCAATCGGCCCTATAATTAACATAATTACAACAGAGTTTAGCTATTGAGAGGTTATCATTATCGGTACTTTAGAAACTACCTTAACGATACTCGAGTACACTAACCTAGTAACCTTATCACGAATCATAAACTAAAACTAATTAGCTTACCAAACTTAAGAACAACGAAAAAGTATTTAATCAACAAGTATTTAAACACATAGTACGTAGTGGAGGTAAAGGCTAAAAGCTAAGAAGTCACCTATACCTGAAGATTCTGAAGAGTATCGAATCCGATTTCACCAAGATTAACTATAAGAATCGTGAAGTGCGTTGCGTCTCCTATCTTCTTAATATTAAAAGAGGAGTACAAAATTGAAAATCAGAAAACTTTGTCAAAAAATTCCGAAATTTGCCCTTCAATTTGTTATGAAAGAGAGCCTTTTTCTAAATCGACAGGGTTAAAATCGTAAAATAATTATAATAAATTTCATACCCATGAAGGGTCCGCGCGTCCCTTATAACCCGGTAAATACATAATTGGATCCTTGCTAATTTGGAGGAGTCAATTAGATGGATGGGCTTTCGTTTATATTGGGCTTACTATACATTAAAGACTAACTTTTAAAAATCGACCACGCAATTTTTAAGTCTTTGTGCCCACACGTTATGTGTCGTTATTTCCTGCAATTAATACGTCGAAAATCAGCCACCATAATGAATCAATTTATCAAATCGGAAATCATTCCCTCAATAGACGTAATCCTAAATTCCAATCAATCAAAGCAGTATAAACATTCAAAGATACATAATTGTCGCTAATTATTGATTCATAGACATATTATTTTCCTAATATTGCATCAAAATCATATAGACCCAAAGTCTCTCGCAAGCCAATCCGTATACATGAAAACCTACCCTATCATCTTCCAACCTAGCTATAAATACAAGCCTAATCGTGATTCAATACACCACCAAAAAAAACACATCTTTATACTCTACAAGCAAACTTA